AATATGCAGGTTTCCTCACGATGTTTTCCTTCACCGCGGAGCACGTGATAAGTCAGCACTTAAAGTTAAAAACTTCATTGGTGCCGGCACCGGGGATCGTACTCAGGTTACTCGAGTATATTGAATTAAAGGCGAGCGCCCAGACACTGAGCTATCACGGCTCTATTTCGTTATACGTACGTTTAAATACATGTGAACATATAGTAGGACGTTTGTTTCATAAACGTTCCTCATTCTTTATTTGCACTCCAGAATGTCGCTTAGGTAGTAAAACTTAAAATAAGGAATCATCGCGAACTCTGTTAGCGCATAGCAATAGTAAAACTAAGCTTTCATTTTATATTTAAGTTAAATTGTGACATTCAAATTGGTTAATTTGAGTCAATACGAACATAGCATATATTCAAGGGGAGAGGATTTTAAAACTAAGCTATTTATTGTATTTAAATACAGCTTGTAAAGCTATAGCTACCCCATAAAAATAAACACAATAAAAAAAATGCTGGTCTCGACCCCAGTCAAATAGTTTTAATTTTATGTGATTATTTATCACGTGTCTGAGATCAAAAATAATATAACACGATGTTAATCGATCATAAACGTAAATTTATGAATAGCAATTGTGCAGCTATAGTGAAGGAAGAAGTATTCACCTGTTATAAGCTCGTATAGTTGAAATTGTAGCAACGGAAACGGTGATTCACTGGGAGAAGAATTATGAAACACGAGAAATGAGAAATACTAGGCACAATGCCCACAAATATTAGAACATTTTTTAAAGTAATCAATAGTTACACGCCCCCCTTTTTACACGTATTTAAATACACTACTGGTTGTCCAATGGTCGAAATTCGACCATAATTAATACATAGTAGTGTGTGTAATGTCTTTTTTATTCATTTAATGTATGGAGAGTTAAAAATATTATTATGCACTCCTTCTCTATATAAACTATAAGTGTGAGAAATTTCATAGTCCTCCACACTAGGAATACACGGCCTCTATTCGAATTGAGTAATTGAATTTGCTTATAATTGTCGGTACTTGTTACAGTGTTACTTACGACGATTTATTTATCACTAAGTGCTGGCTTTACTATCTCATCATACTGGAAAATCAGTCTTTAAGTTTCACGTGTTTCGGTGATCACTTACAATCAGGTGAGCCTCCGGTTCTTTTGCCGCTTTTTCCCATTAAAAAAAATATAAAAAAAATAAAAACAACTTAGTTTGAGGAAACCATGACAGCTGAAATTCAGGGTTGGGTTATTTTCATTTGTTCAGTTTATGTTCTGTATTGGAATTTTGAAAATATGCAGCTTTTCTCACGATGTTTTCCTTCACCGCTGAGAACGTGGTAAGTCAGCACGTAAAATTGACAATTTCATTGGCACCTTCATAAGCTAAGGAAGTGGGATATAAAATGCTTGCATTTGGTAGTGGGCTGTTTTCATTACTCAGACCAATAAAATTACGCTGCCGACTACATCCTTTGTCCTTTGTCTAACAGTAGGATGCGGAAGTTCGGAGATGTATGTATGTACATATATGCATCGATCATTCGAGAAAAGCGCGAAAGCTGACGTATTTGACATTTGCTATGTAGAACTGTTAAAATGTCATCTTGTTTTTTGCAATTACAAAATATATTTTAACAACTGGCACTCAATGATATTATATAAAAAGATATGACACTAGCGCATTGAAATTGAGGCATTCAAATTACACCAGTTGGAGTAATTAAATTGCAGTTCTATGTACTGCTATCTCTTTCCATATCATCTGTCATATTCATTTATTATATACGTCATATAATGTAAAGCGGAAAAATCTTTAAATGCCGCATAGTATGGACATGCGTCATATATATTATTAAACATCATTGCTGGCACTCATACTCCTTTAATTGTGTTACAAAAAACTAGACATATCTTCAAAAAACTAGATAAACCAGTTTATTTATGAAAAGACAGGGGCAGCGAACTAGTATGGTAGAGATGTAGGGGAATGAAAGGCCAGTTATTCGACTATAGTATTCATTAATAATGTATATTGACTTTCAATAAAGCTGGAAATTGGAAGGTATAAGATCTGGTAAATATTAAATCATCTAGTAAATCGTACGGAACCCTCCGTGGGCGAACCCAGTTTTTTGCTCCGCGATGGGTTAACTTTAAACCTAATATGTTTTTAGTCCGGGTTTATACGAACAAATTTTGATTTATCCATAGCGTCACGAAAATAGAATGGTTGGCCGGGAATGGCGGCAAAGGCAGGATGCAATTTGGTAGGTCTTGCAAATATTATTGAGTGATTCTTGAACATGACGAACATGATCTCATCAGACCATGATAGATTTGGAGCACCTTAAACGCTTTCTGTTCCTCAAAGAATTAATTATTTCTTCTATTGAATAAATTCGCGGAAATATAAGCGTTGGAGGAATAAATTTTCCACCAGCATTAAGATAATAATTGTCGGTGGGCCCCGGTGCAACATCCCAACAATTTGTTGAAATCAATTTTACAAAAACACTTAAAATTGAGGTTAGCTTCGCACACCTATATTTAGTGAGGTCAGATTGTAAATAAAAGTGTTTTTAAACAACATAGGTTTATACAACGCACTTTTTGACCAAGAAACAATAATTTTATTTTTATGTGTACCGATACGCTAGTGAAATACAACTAAAAATCGCGTCATCGATAGAGCGCTTCGATTGCCGTACAAGAAACAATTTCTATGTGCGAACAATTTTCGAAAAAGGACAATTGCCCAAGGTAGCATTTTCGAACGTAAAGGTTCGACTATATGAAATAAACATAAGAAACTGGGCCCAGTCCAACGCTTCGGAACAACATGCCCCGGCTGCCCACGTCGTGCGCGTTGTACTTAATGTATTTAGCAGACATCTCGCCTCCAGAAGTGGGCGCCGCACAGCGTCGAATGAATAATGAACGCCACTCGGCGAACTCACCCGGTTTCGTAACACCGCGCCAGCTCTACCTACCGCTTAATCGTTGTTATACGCAATTATACTCGAATAATAAGCCATTGGCGGCCGCTTTCTTATCGTCAAATCTATCTCCTTACGCATTCGCTCGCGGGCTTAACTCCCCGTGAAAGAATTACCACGTTTTGTTTTGCTGCAATCTTAATAACTCTATCATTTTAGTTTCCAACGAAGCAGTGTCCAATTGTAGTTTGAAGGCATAAGTTTTACACTCTATTATTTTAATGCAGTTTTTAATTCCGTAAGGTAAACATAAAGAGTAGATACGAAAGAATTTTCACGTGTAAACGTGAAGGAATTTTAACCAAAACACTCGAACAAAGACCAACTCAGTGACGATAATTAGATTAAACAAATACTTTGACGTGGGGCTAAACATATTCCCTTAACAGAAAGTCTTCGTCACTGTCCCAACCGTTATCTTGTATGTTTTTTACTGACACACACATCAAACTCAACCAGTGTTATGACCATTTTTCACGGTAGATGGTAAAAGGAACAGTAGTGTATCATAGTAGTTATGTAGTTCAACTATAGGCTTGTATTTGCACACCCCCTAGAAGAATGAATTTTTGAAAGTTTTTCTTAAGTCACCTGTCCCAATAAATTATTTTTACACATGAACAGAGACGCAGCGGTCGCAGAGAGACTAGCAAGGAACTAATAAATAGTAAACATGCGACGGCGAGGCATCCGTCCATTCTTCCTCCTTAACTTAAAAAAAAAAAATAGATAATTTTTTATTTTCAATAAAATTTTTAGTTCCGCTAGGAAATATTGTTTCTTAAAACTCCTTAAACAATTGGATTAATGCTTAAAAATGAAAAAGAGCAATTTTCAGTAATTAACACCGAGTACAATCTATGATAATACATGGATAGGTTACTGCATATAATATATAAAATTGACTAGTTGTTTGTTTTGACTCTGAAACATATCAGGTTAGGTTCCAATTGCAATAAGTTTACGAACGGTAATTTAATGCACTCAAATCTAATTCGAGATTTAACATTCTCTTCGTGTTGTAAGAAAACATTGTGATGGAACTCAAATTAGCAATAAAAAATAACACAGCACGATAAATTAATTAAGTAAATATGGCACAAAATTTACGATAAATTATAACCCGTTTAAGGGTGACGACAAAAGCATTTCCGTTGTTTATTTGAATTTATAACTGGATGAGCAGTTTTCTGGCTTTGACCGTACAGGCATTTTTTATTAGGGCACGATGATTGCAAAGATTATCAATGAGTTCAGGAAGCATGTATTCGATATCATTTGACGACCCGATTTTCGTGGGGAGTAGCGCACCTGCCTCTTGCTCCAGAGGGTGTGGGTTCGATCCCCACTACTGGAAAAATATTGTGAGATGAACATAGTGTTTTTCTAGTATCTGGGTTTATTTATGTATAATATGTATTTATTTATAAAAGAAAAGTATGTTTAAGTATGTCTATTAGTCTAGTCTCCATAGTACAACCGTTGCTTAGTTTGGGACTAGAGAATGTTGTGTATGTATGTAAAAATATGTCCGAAAATATTTATTGTATATATTAGTATTAGAAATGAAAAGTACTACATAAAATATTTAATTATTTGCCTCTTAAACATTCACTACACATTTTAGAAAAATTAAAATATGCTAAAGAACCTAGTCTTAAGTATGTTTTCATCGATCAGTATTCGTTCATAACATTCTTTTGATAACAGTTAAGCACTTGTTTTGTGTCTTCGTTTCGTTTTTTCCTTTTTTCGCTTTCCCCGCAAACACTTTAGTCGCTCGCCCGTTTCAGGACTATGGAACTAGGAAGCGTTAGATCCAGATCGATCGGTGGCCGCGCAGTGAAAACTCAAACGTAATTAATATAATAACGCTTTGGCGGGGGCGGGTATAAAAGGCGAACGACGCCGTCGCGGCCATTCTCCGCGCGCCATTCTGCGCATGCGCCCCACTCGCGAGTGACAAGTGACAGTTGACAGACGAAATGACCGCCAAATTTTACGTAAGTGTCAAAATTAAGTGCCTTTAATAGAATTATCGTGCGTTCGCAAATTTCGGCCGGTCCTTAATTTATACGCAATTAATTGTTTAGGCGCGTTCGTAGATAGGCAAATGCGGGAAAATGTGAAATGTTATTATAGGGAACATATTTTATGTTAAAACAACAAATCGCTCGACGGTCGAGAAAATACGAAACGTACAATAATGTTAACACCAAGTGACATTTTTTTTAAATTATACAGGATTGCGGTTTCAGAAAACGCTCTCGCTTCTGGATTGTTTGGTATTGTGTTCAGTGGACGTTCAGTGTGTATACAATGCATCCATGGTCGGGAGTGGTGATTCTAGAACCAGAATTCTGTTAATTTCTGCAAAATGACACTTGAAAACTTCTCAGTCTTAGCAATAAATTTATCACAGTATTTAATACAATTTTAATGGCATTGACTGAGCATACTTCTAGTGGGATTATTTATATTTTTATATCTAAACTGAAATTTCCTTCTTTGTTATTAATATTAGTAAATCGAGGGGTAATGATCCAATTCATTATAATTTATGGATCTCTTAGTAATATAATAAAATAAAATAGTAACTATGCCGATTGCAAGCAAGTAGTAAGTCCAGTCAGATAACTGTTTTGTATATACTTCTTGTCCGAAGTTACTAGGTCGGCCGACTATTACAAATGCCTACTTGTTGCCGTTTCGAGATTGTTCTGATAACCTAACTCGTTCTGCGTTTTATCACAGATTATTCACGCAACAAATGCCGTGTCGCCCTTTGTCCGAAAACACAAAATTTAACAGCTCTCTCTCTCTTGAATACGAAGGTTAATAAATAACGATTTATGCAACACTTTAGTTTTTCAGGCATCATTACAGAAAACCTATTTATCTTTTATTGATTTATTTTGCAAAATATTTCTTATCCCTCAATCACTGCACATTAAAATAGATAAACATTTTCAAAAACAGATAAAGATTACGAATTATTTTAATTATATTAACTATTTAAAATATTAGTAAGCATTTATATTTCATCGAAAACATATAAAATGTTTTCCAAATAAAAAACATACATACCAATGAATCTAATTGCTGTAGCACCGCGTTCACAACAAAATGCAAATTATCTTCATGGATAATTGTCCTGCCACTGGTATCCTAGCCGAGTTGGGTAAGAAGCCTAATACCCGAGTCTAGGTTGTCTATACTTGGGTAAACTTAGAAGGGACAATTGTCGGTCCGGGTCGGTGACCTCGTTTTATCGAAATTCTATCGAATGTTATTCGTTATGTAAACATAAAATTTTTCGAATAGCAAGGACAATTAACATGTGTAGGTTACTTTATTTATACATAAGTAATCTTTATGTACCTACTACTATTTGGTGTTAGTTAACGCCAATAAATCAAACAGAACGATTTTCTTAAAATTCCTTTCAATATCATGTTAATGTTTTAATTTCTTTACTGTTTAAATTATAAGTTCCTTGAAATGTACGAGTATACCGTACTCGTATACCCATATACGTGCTAAGTTAATAATATATCATTAGACCCAATAAATATCTTTGGTCAAATGAAACCATAAAGTCTTATAATTTATTTATAATAACATATGTAACATTTTTTCCTCCATATTACCTGGGTACGCTGTAGAATGTTAGGTGAATTGAATCTAACTCTGGTTATTTCTTTGAAATGCTATACAAATAAAAATTACAAAATCATTGCAAAAAGCTACTTTAATTATATTTGTCAAGAATTCAGATTGCGATTTTAGCGATAATGGTCTTGGTAATATGTTTCACTTTCGTTGTAAGTAGGGTGACTCAATGTTAGGTTTTTCTCGGGCGGATAAAAAAATATTTTTATTTTTAATATTTTCTTTTAAAGTAATACATTTTCCTTGTTTAAATATTGGTTAAATACGAATTCGTTAAGTAGTTCATAATTTTTACAATTGATGACTTGTCAGAACTGTGATGTAATTAAAATTAAACTAGTATAACAAACTCTTTATGGTTTCCGCGTATTTTCGTATTCTCAATGAGATATAATTATGCACCTAACTCTACCAAGGACATGGAAATATTCGCAGTCGAGTAATGTGTGTTGTGACTGCTAAAATACGTAGTCTCTAGGAAAAACAAGTAAAGTAACAGCCTATAAATGTCCCACTGCTGGGCAAAGGCCTCCTCTGTACAGAGAGTTTAAGGGCATAGCCCACCACGGATTGGCTGACCTTACATATTTTTGAAAAAAATCTTTTTCTTGTTATTATTTCGAAAATATGCAGGTTTCCTCACGATGTTTTCCTTCACCGCTGAGCAGGTGATATACGTCAGCACTTAAAATCAACAATTTCATTGGTGCTAGCACCGTGAAACGAACTCAGGTTCCTCGAGTAAATTGAATTAAAGGCACTGCTATGACGGTCTCTGGGTATGAAGTCAAAAATATTCTTGAAAAAAAAAAATAAAAATAAAAATATCTTTATTCACATAGACGCTTGCGCGTTCTTATGAAACGTCAAAATTTTACAAGAAATGAACACGTTCGTAAGTTACCACCGGTTCGGAAAGCAGTTTCTGTTGAGAAGAAACAGGCAAGAAACTCAACAGTTGCTCTTTTTAAAAAAAAATCAGTTTACAATATAATAGTATATGTACAATAGTCTTGTTTTAGCCTACGTGAGTATCAACAGTATTAACCCCACACATTGGCGTCGTCAAGATATTCAGCAATAGAATAATAGGCTTTAGCCATAAGTTTACTTTTAATTTTTCGTTTAAATTCATCAAGTGGCAGACTTAATATCGACTGTGGGATTTTATTATACATGCGCACACCTTGCCCCATGAACGACCTGTTTACTTTTTGTAAACGAAACAATGGCGTAGTTAGTTTGTCCTTATTTCTAGTATTTAGTTTATGTCTGTCACTATTCTTTAGATAACTATTAATATTATTTTTAACATACAAAATGTTACAATAAATATATTGAGACGCAACAGTGAGTATATTAATCTCTTTAAAAAGGTCTCTGAGTGTATTCCGGGCTCCGATGTTATAGATTGCTCGGACAGCTCTTTTTTGAAGAATAAATATAGAATTTATATCAGATGCACTACCCCACAACAAAATGCCGTAAGACAAGATGCTGTGGAAATAACTGAAATAAACAAGTCTGGCAGTGTCGATGTCTGATAGCTGCCTAACCTTCCTAACTGCAAAAACAGCGGAGCTTAACCTGTTCGCAAGAGATGATAGATGGGGACTCCATTGGAGCTTTGAATCCACTGTAATTCCCAAGAATACAGCGGACTCAACAGGATTAAGGGTTACGCTATTTAATGTTAAGCTAAAACTTCGCCTTCTTACGCTGGGAAGGGTAAAAAAGAAGGCATTTAGTTTTTTTAGCATTTAACACCATATTATTAACGGTAAACCAGTGGAGGATACGCGAAAGTGCACTATTCACGTCGTCATAATCCGACACGTTTCGGTCAACCTTAAAAATGAGCGATGTGTCGTCAGCAAACAGTACAATATCACATAACTCACTGGCATAAAAGGGGAGATCATTTATATACACTAAGAATAATAATGGACCCAAGATTGATCCTTGTGGGACACCCATTTTCATGGGGGACCCTGTGGAATTTACATCATTTATAGATACTTTTTGAATTCTATTATTAAGGTAAGAGGCAATGAGATTGAGGGCGATGTCACGAATGCCATAATAATCTAACTTTTGAAGGAGGGTTTCGTGGTCTACACAGTCGAAAGCCTTTGAAAGGTCGCAAAAAAGACACCTATTGCATCTTGTGACCTTTCCCAGGCGTTATAAATATGCTTGACAAGTGCGACACCCGCATCCGTTGTCGATCTGCCTTTAGTGAATCCATATTGCTCATTGTGGAAAATTTTGTTCATATTAAAATGTACTAAGAGTTGATTTAAAATTAGTTTTTCAAAAATTTTACTCAGAGATGGCAATATGGAGATAGGTCTGTAATTTCCTGGATCATTTTTATCCCCACTTTTGAAAACGGGGATTATCTTACTGAATTTCATAAGATCTGGAAATATTCCAGAATCTATACATTTGTTAAAAATATTTGCCAAATATGGTGCAATATACGGCATTATTGTACTCATTAATTTTATGGACATGCCCCACAAATCTCCTGTATTTTTAAGATTAATAGAATTCAAAACTTTTATAATATCATTAGTATCTATGTGATTAAATTTAAACGTTTGTCGACAATAGGTAACATTATTTTTTAATACATTAATTGCATCAATGGGAGAGGATTTTAACGTGCATGTAACATTAATTGCAATTTCCGAAAAATAACTTTCAAAACTACTTGCAATTTCGTTATCTGAAGTTATGGGTGTATTGCCTATCACTAGCTTTATAGGTTCCCTGAATTTCTTGGGTCTTCCAGATATACAGGTAATGATGTCCCATGTAGCTTTTATTTTATTACTAGAATTTAAAATCCTATTTCTTATGTAGATAGATTTTGCATGTATACAGACTTTTTTAAATATTTTTGAAAAATTTTGTACCCGTTTATGGAAATTAGGGTCGTGATTCCACTGCCTCATATTATATAATTCATACAGTGAATCCCTACTTTTATATATACCCACTGTTGCCCAGTCACTAAATTTTAATTTTGATTTTTTAACAATTGTGCGGGGTTTAAAAATATGATTATAGGAAGTTATGAGAAAATCAACCATTGATCTATAACAATCATTAGGGTTATTGACTCCGATATCTTTATGGAATACATGCTGTGCTACTACTTTATCTTTAAAAGAATTTAGTCTCCTAGCAGTGATTGGTCTACACCTGATCTTAATTTCACTTGTAGTAATGTTTTCATTTATTGAAAATTTTAAACCAAGATGATCAGAGCTCAGATAATTTATAATAGATTTGTCATATACTTCATTGTGACAGAAAACGTTAT